AGACTTGTAATTTGATATATTGTGATGGTCTACGATATTATTGTGAGAAGTTTCACGTTATGATATGACAATATTTCGGTTATTGTTACATCCGTAGAAAACACTCCTCCTTAAGGCAATAGAATCTGATTTTCAACAACAATTACTTGTGTAGTACCATGTGGTGTTATACCTGTGAAACCTCTCAGTCATCGAGGCAGGTTTCATAATGGTCCATGGGCGTATACTAATCTATGTGCTCTTATACAGCTCAAAATCATTCTAAAGCTATTCAGGACAGGTTCATTTCTGTTCTACGAATGTGACTTTTTTGTATCAATACCTGCTCAATGAATATCTAGTAGTTTCTAAAAGAATATCTAGTTTTAGTATTGATTATTATCTCATTTTCGATACTTTTGACATCCCTAGTGTAGATTGAAGAAAGTGAACGAGGCTGCACCACATTCTTACTAGGCAAGATGGGTAAAGTATGTTGCCTAAGGACACAACAACAGAAGTCTGTCTGAGCGGGAATTGATCGTCTGACTTTCCGGGTTGGTGGGTGAGTGCTCTAACCATTGAGCCAGTGTCGCCCATAGTCACTATAGTTCATAGACAATACTTAAAAGGGACATAAGCTTTGTCCTTGATGTCCCAGTTCTTTTGGTTCTTTTTGTTGTGATTTGTTTATATTCCCCTTTGCTGCTGCACTGATATTATTACTAGTACTGTATTCTAATGGTTACATAGTGGATGTAATGTTTACGTGGTGGGTGTCATAGGGTGGGTGCTCTACACTATTACTACTACTACTTAAATACTATGCAGTTTATGTGATGCTCTAGCGTAATTTTGTTGTTATTTTATATGACAGTGACAATAAAGGAACTGAATTGAATTGTATTTCTGTCAATTCACGTTCAGTAATCCTGCATTCAAGCTTGAGTGGTCAAAAAAATTCAGTTTTAACCTACCCCCTATCTCTGCACACTTCGGTCTCCTGGTCATAAGTGGAATTCAAATATGTCATGTAACCATTTTTCATCAGTCAAAACAAATGCATAAATCTCACAATTACAACCTAAAAGAAAGGGAAAGATCTTGGCTCAAGATTTGGAGCTGGGTGCCCGGATTCTTGGCGGGTTGCAGGGTCAAATGTAGAGAACAAATTTGCCTTTGGGGACAATAAAATCTGCCAAAACAAAAATGTCTCAGCACTTGCCTGCAGCTTTCTTTAAACCTGCTTGTGTTTTTGTATAGTTATGGTTCAAATATTATACCAGATGCCCTCCTTTTACGCAGAAACCGTTAAGTTCCCAATCTGTGTTTTGTGTTATGCTCTCAAACTCAAATGCCATGCTATCACTCCCAAAGGCTGTCTTTCCCACTCTCCACATGCACTTCTTTGTATGAAACTGAGCAGGCCGGGAGCAGTTAAATATTTTCCCAGAAGTGTCAGTTGGCTTCATCTGAAACTCTGTCTGAAGTGCGTAAACGTTATGGCCCAACCTAACGGCCTGTTTCACAATTCCTACTTCCAGGACAGAGTGTTACGTCATGAAGAGGCTTCCCAAGCAGTTTAGCAGAGCAGGGAACACACAGCCAAATGCGTGTACTTTCTCTTCTGTTTTCAATACAAATATTTCTAGTAAAGAAAAGGGAACTGATGAAATGTACTGTACTATTGTTGATAGTAGTTTAGATAGCGCTGGTCTATTCTGAGTAACTGCAATTTTTCTGCCAAGTAATGCGATTGTGATAAAGGTATTGACATTGTGTAACTTTTCTGGGGGAGGGTCTGTCAGCTGCTTGTCTCCATGGAGATGTCATTACTTTGCACAAAGTTTTTCACTTTACGGACTTGACTATCTTCATAGACACACACATTTGGTGCAACCAGGTCAAGTTACAGGTTAGATCTGTAGAGGTAGTTTCACTTACAGTAAGAATGCATGTATTTCAATCTGTTTTGAGTATAAACACAAAAAATAAATAAATAAATAAATGCAAGGTAAAATTTAAAACCATACTGAGAAACATTCCTGGAAAAGCAGGTATGACATAAGCAGATAGATTACATGAGCATTAAGATTTAACAGAACGCTGAAATATGGATCATATGTGTTTCAGAACATGTTTGTAAAGGTCTACAGGTTTTTCAGGTGGAGGGTACACCACTTGCTTGTCTCCATGGAGATGTGCTTTGATTAGAAAGTTGCACCAGAAAAGTTGCATGAACTTCATGAACTTACAGTCCATATTTAGTTCTCAGGATAAGAAATTGCAGTACCTGTAAATAAGTATTCAAAATGTGATTGCAGTTTCAATAGAAGTGTGTGTGGCAATAATAAGGTTTCTCTGTGTACCCAATATTGTTTAACAGTCTTCCAGCAGAGCAGTGTTCGTCCTGTACTCTGTGTTGAAACATTGACAGTAAAAGGGAGTGGACTTTACTTCTGCAGAAAAGGGGCAGGCTGCAGAAACTCCCTTTTACAGAACACACACACACCATGAAATGCTAACACATTCTTACAGTAATAGTGCTGCTGTGGAGGAGCCAGTGATGGTACTGAGGATATTATATGAATGTTTTTTGAACTGACCACTACCACAACTACTAGCTTAGACAGTTTTTTTTTATTATTTTTCCCTTAAAATAAAAACTCCATGATCATGAACAGTTTATTTCTGTTCACACATAGGTGCGCACTGAGTGCCACTTGTGATCTTCAGTACTGGTCAGTCTGTCCAGAGTGAGACATGACCTGTGCATAAGTGCAGCATAGTGCATACAGCAGCAATATCCCATCAGGAAGCACATGTGCTATGCTCAGACTGTGGCGTCACAGTCATCTCCAACACTTCTAGTTGAATGCTGTTGCATTTGAATTGAATTGCGTCAATAGTTCACATTTCCAAACTTTTATGTTTGGTGCTTGGGATGCTTGAACGCTCAAATGCATGATTACTCAAAACACACCCCATAAACTTGGACTAGCCTAGACAAGCATCCCCATTGACTTTGTATCAAAAATCGAGGGCTGAAATGTTGTCCAGTCTGATCGCAGCATTACTGCATCTGTGCACATGAGATTGTGCCTTATTGTGGGCCAATCCTGTCTCAGTGATATAGAGTACAAGTGAAAGCCCATGTCACAGTTTGAAAGCAAAACAGCAGTGGTGGTCCTACACTGATTTACTCCCCAGCTGAGACCCCCTCCTGTAAAGAAATTGATATGCACACTGAATGTCAGGGCAGTGGGTTTAAATGAAGCAGTCCCAGTTGTCAGCTCAAAAACATTTTGCCAAACCATTCCTTTTTGGGACTTTGTTGTAGGTTTCGATTTTTTATTTAGTTTTTTTTCTAGCTCTCGTGCCGCCCCCCCCACGGCTGTCCTGTCGGCCTGTGTCTAGGACCGCCCCGCATGACAGTGTTAGTTTAGAAGTAATCGTTATTTCTAGGTTTTTCAGCAGTTACAAGAAATAGACACAAATGTTGCCCAAGGCAACATTAATTATACACATTAAAAGTTTTCTTGTTTTTTGGAGTTAACTTGCATTCATTCTTCAGACCTCCAAACAGTCGGTTCCAACTTGTGATGTCACTGGATGTTAATCTAGGAAGTACGCCTCATTTGGACTTCACATGCATCTCCACCAGACCGTGGCCCTTTAGCAGCTAGGTACATCTGATGGCTGTCCTGCCCACCGACCACACTCAGTAGTGCTCTCCTTGCATGCACATGACCACTTTGACCAATCAGAATGAGCGTAGCTAGAACGTAGCAAAACTGACGTAAAACCCGACCTTTGTGAAAGCTGTAGGTGCCCTGTTAGCCAAACACAAGCAGTTTGTATTTACATTGTGCTATATGGGAAAAATGAGTGACCCCTAATCCAACTCAAGACGGGTCTAAGAGAACAATACAGTGTTTTAATAGTTATTTTAATAGCTCTATGATGTCCACTGTAACAGTCACAGCAGCTCAGGACTCACTGCTCTTCTGATCTATGTCATTTAGTTGTACAGTTTGTAATGCATGAATACAAAAAAACTTACTAGCATTGTTTTAGATCCTCATGTGTTTTTACGCTTTAGTGTAAAATAAAATGTACTCACAAGCATTTCGGTTTATTTTTGATAATACCTGTGGACTGGTTTAAGTTTTGGGGTATTTTAACTTCTCCTAACTTTTCATATCATAAACCCATGGACAGCTTTTTGTCCAGCCAACTTTGAAATAGTGTCTTATTTGTAAAACGCAGGAGCTGAAAGTGCCTAATTACAAATACTCATGTTACTTTAATTGAGTTGATTTTTTGGGCTCAGTTGCGCATTTTATTTTAAACCTGTATTTGTGCTTGTAATTGAGCATAATTCTAATCACAGTCGTTAAAATGTAACTTAAAACTAGTAGCCTTGGTAGTATTTTCATGCATACATTTTACTTTTACTTAAGAACAATTTTGGAAGCAGTGCTGAGTAACTGAGTACATTTTTAGCCATGTAACGGTACTTTTACTTGAGTACAGCTTTTCGGTTTTCTCTTTCCACCACTGGTATCTTCCTTCCACCCATCAAATTAGCCTTGCCTGTGTTGTGTGTGTAATATTATGGTTGTAACCAGGCCATAACACTGTCTCCAGGTGTAACCTCACATGCCTTCCCTCTGCATGTGTCCTACTTACCACTGCACTCTCATTAAAGGGGATGGCAGCTGCGTGCACTTGTGTTCAGGACACTCAGTGCTACAAACCAGGAACAGCACCCAATATAATGTAGAGCAAACACAGCTTTTTTTTTTCCATAGAGATAATATTATTTAACTTAGCTAATACTCCCTTTATATGAAATTATGAAAGGCACATAGCCACTTCCATCAAATGACCTGTAATTTGACATAAGGACTGGACATCCTGGGAACATTTTGTTATTAGACAAATAGGTTTAGATTCTATGGGGTAGACTATATTTAACGATAATGAGGCACTAATTTGTTATGTTTTCCTTTTTGTAGGTCGTGTGAAGAATGTCATCCAAAAGTGGGAGCGGTTTGGCCCAGGCTCGACGCACGGTGCAGCAGCTCCGGATAGAGGCCAGGATTGACAGGATAAAGGTTTGTAAACATGATCATAGCACGCATCTCTTTTCATTGTATTCGTATATGATTATTCTGGCAGATATATAAGAAATACCTGTACTTTTTTTTTCTCATACTGTTGGCAGGGTATAGCCAGAATGATTTGTGAGGCCAATGAATTATCTTAAAGATCTTATATTACGCAAAATTGACTCTTGTGAACTTTAAGCCATGTTATAATGATGTTTCCTCATCAAAAAACATACATGGAGTTGTGTTTTGTTTCCTTCACACTTGTTTCAGTAATTCTTTATTATCGTCTGTCCACATCTCCAAAGCTCAAAATGCACTCTTCCACCTGGTGATGTCATGAAGTGATTCAAGTTATCGGCTACCTTTTACCATTTTTAGTTCAGTACAGATTGGCAATTCTATATCTGGAATCATGCAAATCATTTTAGTGGAGGTGTATTATAGGGATTTAGCGATATCCAGTTCTCTTGATATGATATTTTCACAATATGCATCTCATGGTATGATATTTATTGTGATATTTTATGAACGCTAACAAAATTGTGAATATGCTGCTTTTCTCTCATCATAATCCAAATAATTAAAATGTAAATGTGTTAAATAACCGTAATTTCAGCATGTAGATTGGACTGAAACAGTGCAAAGGATCATGGTCTATGTAGTTCACTCTGTTTTTGAATGAATTTGAGCAAATAAACTTGTAATTAGATATATTGTGATGGTCCACGATATTATTGAGAGACTTCTGACGATACGATATCACGATATGACAATATTTTGGTTATTGTTACATCCCAAGTGTATGGAGTTTAACAACACAATGAAGCACTAAAGAGCACTCCACCGTGTTTTTATTACCACATCATCATCTCATCACAAGGGTTTTTTTTTTTCAGTTTGAGAGAAGAACTCGAAGCCTAAAAATGCAGAGTTTGTGTGTTAAGTGTGTGTGAAAGTAACAAACACAACTCCCGGTATGTTTTTGATGAGGAAATAGCATTATAACATAGATCAGAAAACAGTAACATAGGCCCTTTGACATTTCTGATAGAGAATAAATAAATACAAAATCTAAGGCTATACACTATTGTAATCTGAGAGCTGCATTACCCAACGTTTTTGTTATAAATGATCAATTGTAGTTTTTCCCTTCACTGCTCACTGACGTCGTAGTTATAAAAAGTATTAAAAAAAGAGCTGTGTCCTTTGCTTTATGATGCTTTGGCATGAGAGCTGTCTACCTGACTTCCTATCCCTGACTGCAAAAGCTGTTCTCATGCTGTGCTCCATTAATGCATGTGAATACTAGTGATGTTAAATCCAGAATACACACTTCTCCAATACCCTACAAAGGTGTGAGTTTGGTCACCGGTGAAGCTCCCCTGAGGTCTGTTACCATGACAATTATTGTTACCATTTATATTTTCGCTTTATATTGTGATATGTGAGCTACTTTGTCCAAATAATTTCCCTTGTGGATCAATAACGTTTGTCTAAGTCTAAGGTCAGATGATTGACAGTTAGATTAGCCAATCAGGGACATGCTTGGTCCGTCCAACTTAAAACAAATATGATAATATGACTGCTTAGAAGGAAAAAAGAAAGGGGAAAAAATGTCAAAGGGTTTCTGCAGAGTAAATAAAATATACAAGACATTTCACAAAGCAAAATAGCCAAAGGTCACACACAACCAAAATTCACATTTACAAATAGTTTAGGAATTTCCAGGATTTAAACATCTTTGGAATTGGAGGACAAGTGTATGGTTTTCTTGTAATATTGGATTTTAGGGAGGAAAATGGAAAAAAATGGGTTCACGATTAATGAATTTACCTTTATGGATATGAAATTTTACTAAGATAATTAAGAGATTAATGATATAATAATGTTTACTTTTCAAGTGATGCATTTGAAAACCAAACAAACCTAGTGTCTTTAAAAGAAAAGATCAAATGTGACATAAAGTTGCATACATAATTACCATACCATACCATGCCAACTTTAAAGCACTTTACAGCTGGCCAAAATGGTGTACACAAACACAGGATAGACAAGGACAATCACATTACAACACAATACACAATACAACTACTAAGAACATAGAAAACAATGAGATACTGAACAACAAGAAATGTACGTCATTTGTTTAGAGAAAGTGAAAAAAGGTGCCTTTTTAGGAGTGATTTAAAAACAGGTACAGACTGGGGCAGCAACAGAAAATGCCCTTTTATATTTGCCAAATTCCTTCCAGAAAAACACAGAGGCTGTGTAAATCCCCCTGTTACTGGCCCAATCAAAGTAGACTTGATTACTTATGAACCTGTTAAGAGACAACTCTAATCCATGCGTTTGAATACATCTCCTCCTCTCTTCGCAGGTATCCAAGGCCTCCTCCGACCTCATGCGTTACTGCGGTGAACACGCCAAATACGACCCTCTGCTCGTGGGCATACCTGCTTCGGAAAACCCCTTCAAAGACAAGAAACCGTGCATCCTTCTATAAACCAACGCAGGAGGCCGCAGTACCCCTACAGCTCTGACCTATTCACGCGCTCACAGTTGATAAGCAGATGACTTCCCCGCCTCGGAGCAGCTAAGAGGACCAAAGCGCTGGATCAAACAGGCTAGCACTAAGATTATTCGAAGGTGGCTTTAAAAGAGCTAGGTAGCGCCTTTGTCTTTCTACATTGTTATCTAAAGTGATCTTAAGGGGCTGGTGAAAAGGAGGGGGAACAGCTTGAATAGGGAAGAGTGTTTTGGGCTAATTATCCCAGCAGGCGATTCTCAGTTCGTGAAAGCTCACCTCCTCTCACCTCAGATGTGCTAGTAAAAGGAAACTGCTTGTGTGTTGCTGATAGTAAATACAGAGATGGCTTAACGGCAAAGGAATATCGGTATAAAGGTCTTGTAAAAGATTATTTCCTTGTATGTATTTAAGCAAAATTTATCTTGGCCCAGTTCAGATATATTGTATAAGAAGCTCTTGAGGTCAAGGTCAAAATAAGTCTCCTTCATATTATAAAGCGTTTTGTTGTCTGATAATGAGGAAGTGCCCTATTAGAATGCTAATGGTTGTTAGCTTTACATTGAGGGCTGAATGTCTCTGAAAGTTGTGAAAAGCACTTACGAACTCATTGCAGTGAATAATGAGGATCAGAATGCATAAGGTAAGTGAGAAATAACTTTGGACCATAGAAAAGGGTTTAAGCCGGCATTTCGAGTGGGTGAAAACTGTGTTTTTTGAGAACCTGTTCTAGAGTGGAGAAATCTGAGAACTCCGGTGTTGCGTTGTTGTGTGGACAAGCAAACCGCAGCTTTTGGAAAACGATGACGTTGCGACCCCATCGCAGCCCTTGAACTAGCCTCCACGGACCAAGGTCATTGCCGAAATGGGACATGTGTATTCTACGGAGCTGGTCCTGTTGCCCAGCAGCCACGATACGCTGCACAGGGATCAATAACAAAGATTATGCAAAGGTAATTAAACTGTTGGATTTTGAGACTTATTCTAATAATTTTCATCCAAATCTTATGGCTATAAATGAAAACGTATGTTTAAATTTTGCAAAACAAAATGGCTATATTTCTGGGATACATCTAAAATAGGCTAAATTACCTTAAAGTTTAAAGAAACTGTGATGAGATATTCATTATTAAATATTATTATCATTGTTAACAGCGCCACATACATGTGTGACATATGTATTACATTGTTTTCACTCAGTGCACAGTTGTTGTCTGGATGTGACTATTTATTGATCTGACACATGTGGACACATTTTTTTTTCAATCTGCAAAAACAAAAAAATCTAGGAGCGTTGTCATGTGGACGTAGCCTAAATCCAAGTAAAGTAATTACGAGACCAGCCTTTAATCTGTTTCAGTGTAAACACTTAATCTTTTTATGGTATAAAGAGGTGCGGGGTGTTCCTGCAGTAGGTATAGCTCATAATACAAAGTACCATTCGAAAGGTCATGCCTGTTTGGTGCCTTTGTCAGTAAGAAGATAAATCATGTTCCAAAGCCCTCAAGTAGTTTAAAGGCTCTGGGCCTGATTCTTTTTTCTTTTGTTTACAGTCATCAAGTTATTCTTCACTGACCTTGTTCATTCACCGTGATGAGTTTATAAGCACTTTTCACATCTTTCAGAAACCAGAGTAAAGTTTTGCTATCACAATAGTGCAAACAACTAGCATGCTGACGTGCACTTCCTGGTTATTGGACATAAAAACACTTATACTATGATGCAGACAGTACACAGCGGACATATTTTGACCTCAAGAATTGCTTATACAATATATCTGTGCAAGAACAAGAAATACTGGGCCCTTCAAAGCAATAATTATGTTCCAATTAGTCCCAAACTGCATAAGCCCATCCAATTTTATTTTATAACCAGTTTTACAAAATACTTAATTAGCTAAATCATGCTAAAATCCTACACACTTAACACTTCACAAAATCTTTAACCTGCGTGGAAGAGGTGTGAAATCCTGTTACCTTCTCCAGCATGCGTCCTTTGTTTTTGAGAGGGTGTCGTTTGTGACGCGCTTTGAAAGACTGAATCCACAAAACACTCAATCCATCACATCACTGACGCAGATGAAGCTAATGTAAAGTCAACAGTTTAGTAGGCACCAGACATGCTAATTATAATGACCGGGTTTTCATGTCATGTGCATAAAGATCCATTTGAATATGAAAGTTAAGCAATAAAAATTTGCAAGTTAGTTTGTGCTGTTTAAGTGATGTTTGTGGTGAAGCTTTTGTTGCGACCACTGGCTCCAGCTGAGGTCAATTTGGAAAACGTTTAAAGCTACACTATGTAACTTTTCCCATGGAGGGTCTATATGGAGATGATGTTCTTTTGGCAATAATAATATAAATAACAATAATACTTTTCATTTTATTAGCACTTTTTAAGACATCCAGAGTGCTCCACAATAACACACTATAAACCAGGGGTGTCAAACTCATTTTGGTTCGGGGGCCATATCCAACCGACTTTGATCCCAAAGGGGCCGGATCAGAAAACTCATGGCATATTTATCCCAAAAATAACAATAAGTTAAAATATTTGTGCAGAGAAACACAAATCTATTACAGAAATCTTTTTTAATTGATGAACTCTTTCTTTTACAAAATATTATATTATGCACAACCTGAAACTAAGAAAAATGCAATTTCAACACAATGTTTTAACATTAACTTGTATATAAATAGGAATAAGTAAAATTTCTTGGAAAATCCTGCAGTCGGCTCCACTTTTCTCATTTTTGACATTTTGCTGATGAGGGTGTCACGGTCAACAGTCAAAACGATCATCCTTTAAGAGCGTTTGGAAAGAGACAAGTCTTCATTTGTGCTGCTCTGGTGGGAGGGGCCACGTACAGAGACGCTGGAGACGCTGCTAATGCTAAGTGCCGCAGAAAATTACCGATATTTAAATAAAAAATATAATTAAAATATTTTAGTAGAAATAAGCCGAGGGCCAGATTAAAGGTCTTGGAGGGCCGCATCCGGCCCCCGGGCCTTATGTTTGACACCTGTGCTATAAACTGTATTTCCATGGAGGTAAGTTACAGGTCAGATCTATGGAGTGGCGACCCCGCTCACTGTAAGAATGCAGGTTTTTCAATAGTGTTAAAAATCTGAGTGCAAAATCTATCAATTTAATGTCATACTGTGGAACATTTTAGGCAAAGAAATGATATCCATGGAGACGAGGAGGTAGCAGACCCTCCACTAGAAAAGTTACATAGGCTACATTCAGACTGTAGCCTGAAGTGACCCAAATCCATTTTTTTCACCCAAATGTGACCTGTATCTGATATTTTAATGACAGTCTGAACGACACAGATCGGATTTTTTCAAATGCGACCCAGGCCACTTGGATATGTGGTCCTAAAACCGATATATATCCGATCTTTTGACATGCGACTTCAGTCTGAACGGCCAGGTCACATTCATCCCACCTTCACGTCAGGCTCGGATGAAGGGTACACGATGTTAGCAAGTTAAGTTATATTTGGGGGGATCGCTGTATTCAGGCCAAATTGGAGGGGTCTTATCAGAACCGGACGGTTTTTGAAATGATTGCCAAAGAAATGGGCGAGTGTGGCTACAGGCGGTCCTGGCTCTAATGTCAATGAAAAATAAAGAGCCTGCGAGTCAAATACAAGGACGCTAAAGACTCAAACAAACGAAGCAGCCATAGACGTGTAACCTGTCCATTTCACGAAGATCTGGAGAGTATTTTGGAAGACAAGCTCAGCGTTTAAGCTACTTACGCAAACCCTGAACTCACTCACTGCATGTGACGTCATCGTGTCCTCTAATGCGCATGTGGGGCACTTTCGGGGAGTTTAATGTTCACACTGGAGATCACATACAAGTCGCATTTAATTGGAAATGTGAACAACCTCGCAAAAAATCGGATGTCATGAAAAAATCCGAATTGAGCATTAAGCCCTGCAATCTGAACGTATCCTTAGCGTACCTTTAGCAGCTATTATATGTTTTATATAATTGGTCACAAGTGCTCTTAACTAAACTTCAAGCCTTTTCAAATCAGTACAGAGAAATTAACGATATTATTCCATTGAGTATAATATAAAATTGTAGAGTTGATTTTTTTTAACTGTTGTGTTTTAGTGTTTAGTCTATTTGTGTACGTATTGTGTGTGTATGTGTAACCTTTATTTTTTGCTATGAAAATCTCTGTATGCTCGACAATCAGGTAATGCTGCAATAGTATTTGATCATTCACAGCTGCTGGTTTTGAATACATTTTGTTTTGTAAGAAAAGGTTCATTTTTTAATTTTAAACTACTCATTTGTAAGTGTTGTGATTTACAATTCCACTTTTGTGCTTGTGATTTTGCAACATGTAAAATAAAAGTATTTTATCTTGTAAAAAAAAAAAATGCTGTTTGTGTTTTTTCTGAATTATATATGAAAAAAATGGCCATAATCTTTTTTTTTGTTTGTTTGTTTTTGTTTGTTTTGTTGTTGTTTTTTGGCAAAGCTTCAAATTTTAGTTTCACCCATTTACCTTCTGACCCCTTACACGTTATCATCAATGCTGGAATCAAGGTCATATTAAACGCATTATGTAACTTTCTGCAACCTTGTCCCCATGGAAATGATACTTGCCTGCAATATCCCACTGTATGGCATTACAGTTATCCATCTCCATCAGGCCATGCTACAGGTCAAGTCTGTGCAGAGGTGAACTGACTCTCAAAAATGCATGTTTTTCAAGGTATATTATATTTTTCTAGTAAATACACTTGTAATAAAACAAAATAGTTAAAGCCATAAAGTGGAACATTCCAGGCAAAGCAATAACATCTATGGCAGTTGTGTGAAGTGCTAATAAACTCACTGAATAATTAGGATGCTCAGGATGCATAAGGTAAGCGAGGAAGAACTTTGGACCACTGCAAACTCCTTAAAATGTAACCGTTTTTTAATGTTTCAGACCAATATGCATTTTTTCATGGCCACTGCCAATACAGTTTGCTTAGAATCAGAGGAACTGATGAGGAAAAAACTGCCTATTAACGAGACAACTTTCCATCCATATAAAATGTTATATTTAGCTATTTACTATGGTAGCGTGCAGTACAACAACATGGCTACTGTTCAGAAACACAACCAGATTTTAAAAGGAATTTTAGCTAAATTCAGCTCAAAATGGCACATTTGAACTACTAAAGGTTATACTGTATGTAAATAAAACAAAGTATAAAGGGCTCACATTATGCTTTTGTATGACCTGTTACCCTGAGTTCTGGCTGAAGGCACAGAAGAGTCAATTATGTGTAAAACAGGAGCTTTAAATTATTCAATGCACTGGTCTACAGAAATGCTCCTTTTAGTTGCTTACTTACTTTTACTTCCTTTATCATTCTGTGGTTAGTCATTGATTTCTGCCTATATTTTTAGGCCAATATCTTGAGCTGGTTTAGGTTATTTTTCTCAAATTATCAAATAAAAATGTAATACTCATCCATAACCTTCTTTTACTACAAACTGTGTAGAGTCCAGTGTAGTCAGTACTCTCTTTGGACATTAGAATTCAAACAAAGCTTTATTCATATATTTAGGCTGCTGCTTGGGCCAAACAAAACATTGGCTTCTGCTGGAGATTTCTGTCCGATAGCTGATATAAGGGCAAATATTGATGTGATATATTGGTTGAATATATCTTCCTGGAACCCGAAGAAAAAAAGTGTATTGCAATATATATTTTTGTGTTGTTGTTTTTTTTATCTATTTGGAGGTAAATGAACTATTATATGAATTATTTTTATTTATAATTTTGTGACATGTCCTCTGTAATGGACGCTGGGGACATTTTGGTGTTAAATCCATGTGATGTTAAC